TCGATTCAATCAGGTTCTGCCTCTCAAAAAGGATAAAACCTGTATATGTTGTGTACATAACGAGACTGGAGTTAGGTGAGTAGGCTTGGCTGGACAGCGAAACAGGTGCAGGTGTCATGTGGGCCTGTGCCACAAACTGGGCAGATGTTCTGCACGTCGCTGTTAATCCGGGACAGTAGGAATTTAGGCGGGCTGCACCATCGGATCGTAATTGAACCAAAACTACTCGGATTTGTCGGGACAGCCCTCGTTCTTCAGATGCGACGGGAGGGGGATGGTCTCCTAGCACAGATTCCACATTATATCCTTCAATGGCTTCTGAGACCGCATAAGAGTGATATAGAGGCTCTCTTCTTATACCTCTGTACCTCTCTCTCTAGATCATGAAGGTCTTTCCTAACGTGCCTGGGCGGAGGTTGCCTATCCACAAGATGGTGATTCGAATGGCTTTGTCTTTAACATCCAAGCAGGTATTGCATTGACAGCATTTTGTTATGCTGTCGCACCGGTAAAGACCTTCACCCTCCTCATGTAAGAGATAAGAGACAGGTGTCATGAGAAGGCACCCCCTGTTGCGGTTCTAAGGTCGGCATTCTGGCAGGACTGAACATTTTTCCACTGCGTAGTACTGACGTTAGCGGACCACACCGGAGTAAGAGGTCAACAAGATTTCCTTATCAGCTCCCCACAGTACTGCCGGCCAGAGACTTGAGGACTTTATTCCTACTTCTAATCTTGTCGCAGATAGCTGTGGTATGCGCGGACGACCTTAAAGAGGCTATCGAATGTGACACCTAATACTTCGGGGTAGTTGGTGGTCGGAATTATAGCACCATCGACCTGCACATTCAAGAATAGCTCCATCTCCGCAGTCCACGTGGTGAAAAGTGTGTCCGTCGACCTTAGTGGAGGATATTTTCATGTTCCTCGCAGTGGGTAAGATCAACAAGGTATGCGTTTAACCGATTCGCAAATGTCATCAATAATGGGTCCGGACGCCACGAACGTAAAATCATCTGCGTACGTTATAATCTCTATGCCGTCTGGAGAGCGTGAAAATGTCAGGAAGGTAGAGGTTAAACAGTTCCGGAGATATCACCCCACCTTGGGGAACTCCCTGTTTAACTCTACGGATGCTCGACTTCTTGTTTCTGAATTCCACGTACGACTGGCGTCCACACATGTAGTTTACTATCCAACGTTTCAAACTTGGCCGGAGGGTGGTGCGCTCAAGTCCCTCGAACAGTGTGGCATGATTGACTGTATCAAAGGCTTTTGATAAATCAAGTGCCACCATAATTGTTCTATCATACGGTCTGTTCTGGTTGAGACCTCTGCTGACATGTGTGGAAATGGCGTGTAAAGCTGTTATTGTGCTGTGCAATTTTCGAAATCCGTGTTGATGATCGGCTACTGGAAAACACTCTCTTATGCTGGGGAGGAGTAAAACCTCAAGCGTCTTTGCTACTGGTGACAAAAGTGATATCGGTCTGTATGAATCACTTTTGCTGTCATCCTTGCCTGGCTTCAGTAGCGGAACCACCCCGCCCATTTTCCAGGCATCGGGAACTAATAGGGTGGTTAACGACAGATTGAGAAGCTTTGTAGGATACTCAACTCCTGGCTCATCCAGTTGCTTCAGCATCACCATTAAGGTTCCGTTCAGGACGAAGCGTTTTGGATGACTTTGCGCTTCTGATGACATGTGCAACATCAATATCACATTGGGCAGTTCTCTAAAGCGGGCATTGGTATATTCCCTGAATTCTTGCCAATTGGCTTTCCCGTGGTAAGAAAAGTGCGGCGTTCAGAGTCAATAAAGTCGGGTTGTCTATTGATGGCGACATTAATGGTCTGAGCCTAGAGAAATGGCTGATTGCCAAGTTACGTCACTCGTCAGACCTGAAGACACGATGGAAATTTCCGGTGAACTGTGGCAGTCTCCCCTTATTCTGGTGGCGCGTCCTCATTCACTGTGCAAAACGTGGAGCCATCAATTTGCTCAGCCAGCGCATGCTCCCTGGTCATTACCTAGGACGGAATGCCATAATTCATGATGGACATTAAAATCCCCTAGCACCAGACGGTTATTGCATACCAGAAGTGAACTGATATTGAAAATATAACGTGAGACACAGCTATTTAATCGGCAGAATGCACACGTTAAGCACATCTACCTCGGCGGTTCCACTACTCCCGTACATTCCATGTACGGGTCGGTAGAAGTCAATCTCAGGCGAGATAGGTCTGTACTGGACAGAGTGGTGCAATAGGAACGCTAATCCCTTCACCTCTGTAGCGATCCTTCCTCAGTACGTTGTATCCATCACAACTTTGAAGCCTGTAGGTGGTACTCAGCTTCGTTTCCTGGATCGCTGCGACCTTGATGTTCTTCCGACTCACGAAGCTTACGATTTCGTTAATCTTACCTCGGAGACCATCACAATTAAACTGGAGAAATGACGCATTATCCGGAACTTGAACAGCAATGTGTGGCGTCAACTGCTGCGTAAATTGCTGTTGAGTAGATTGCGGGGGAGTCTCATATTGCGACGACGATGAGCACGCCGAAGATAAAGACTCAATGGGGTCTACATTGACGCAGCAGGAAGCAATGTAGTCCCTATCGCTGTACTTCGGTTTAAGCCGGAACAATTCCGGAAATGTACCTACTCCATGCATTCCGTGTATCTCACCGAAACCGATCTGTGGTGAAGCGATTACGTCAAACGGAGCAGAACCATGGTCCGGTGTTGGTCTCGATCCCGGCTCGGACCAAGAGAATACGGAGGTAAACATTCCGGGTAATGTTGCTCACACATCAGAAAAATGAACGAACACGAATATGAAATTGCTGGGTTGGCGGCCCCTGGTCGGAGAATTGTACCTCCGAGTCAATCCGGTACATAGAACCGGCCGCCGTGGGGATTGGTTATCAACAGTAGATTTTCTTCTCTGATCTGGGGCTTTTGATGGACCCCAAATTATATTTAATAACCATATTATTTCTATGGTAAATAAAGCATCCGGTGTCTTAGGTTTTATTAAACGTGGGCCAAAGAATTTTCTGATCCATATGTTACTAAACAACTATATTCGTCTCTAGTTAGGCCAATATTAAAATATGGTTCCTTTGTGTGGGAACCTCAATATACTCTCTATTCCAGTAAAATTGAGTCCGTACAGAAGCAATTCCTGCTTTAAGGGGTTTAAATTGGAACAATAATTTTGTTTTACCCTCTTATACATATATGAAAGATTCAATAAATTAAACAAATATTAAGAAAAAACCTCTTATACTAGCAGGTTAAAATTAATTCGATTATCTTCATTAAAAAGTAGGCGCATTATGTTTAATATAATAATGTTAAAAAACTTTAAACGGTACTGTACCATCTGCTTTTTATTTCGGTCGATTAGAATAAATGTCCCCTTTAGAACTAGTATACACTATCAATTTTTATATACTGACTTACATCGCTCAAATTATGCGATGTGTGACATTGTCAGGAAAATGAATGTTTACTTCAATTATTTATATTCTTATATAGATTTAAGTATGTATATAGATACAATTAAATCTTATAGAATTGTTGTTTTAAATGATCAATAGATTTTATTTAGATAACTGTATTTTAATCGGCTAATGAAGTTATTTCCTTTAGCTGGAATCACTAACGCTGATAACCCATCATGGGGCGGATCATGATGTGTACGTCACCCCTACGTATGGGGATGGTCGCCACCTCGGTCGGCAGGGGTAAGAAATGATTGGCGTTGGGAACGTTCGATTAAAAAATTAACGCAAATGGACACTGGAATAAGGAAGATAATAATAAAGGTCTTAATGTTGCAGGAACAATCTGTATCTACGTATAGAAGGAAATGCGTGTGCCTCCTTTATTAATTCCCCTGTCGTAAACGACGACAATTCTTGTAATTCAAAAATATTTTTGATCTTCAATGTAAATTAATATTTTTCTACTTAACCATATTGTTATTGTTCTAGTATGCATTGCTTTCATTATGAAGTTTTCCCTATCAGTATATCGTCGTCGTCGACTTGTAACTGTTTTCGTCGTTACCAGATTTTTTTCATAATATGTTCCATTCTTCCCATTCACTTTCGGTGTCGTCGTCTCCTCGAACACCAGAAGAAATGGCAATTAGTCACATTATATTTTATATCCTCGTACATAGTATATATGATTTCAGCGTAAAATTCTGAGTTGATTTAACCATATCCTTCGGACTCTTGTAATCACGCTAGAGTGAAATGACTAGAGATAGGAACTTGAGATTTTAGTAGTGTATATTAGTGTATTTTTCTGCAGAGAGGTCATGTTCTAAGATGGACAATATTGGTCCACGATATCAGGTAGATTTTATACAACGGTACCTCCCGGTATTCGGTATTTAGACCCTTTAAGCCACATTTTCTGACGGAATTCTCTCCAGCTCGGTATATGGAGTTCATAATAACAGGTTTCTAAGTGGACAGAAAGTTGTCTACATAGATCCACGTTTCGTATAACGTCCATATAACAACAATTCCTGGGTTCAAACCACTTGTGATAGTACATTGTCGTTATAGGTTTTCTATAGCCCCCATACAACGGTAGCTCATTATATTCGGGATTTTGATGTTTTAGCTACATTTTTCAACGGATTGTTTTTCAAATAGAACTTGTTTGACTATTAAATGTCGATACTCTTGTAAGATTTTATTTGCCTTATGATAAGAGGATATTAAAGGTTCGTTCCGGCTGAACTTAACGTTGATTTACTTGTACAAATTTACAATTACATGTAGAAAAATTCGTTAGCGTTGCATTTCATTGCAACAAACCGCAAATAAAACAAGTTCTGATGTTTTTAAGTTCTTTACACATTATGCTTCTTGATATACTGTGTTGTAAATTAATACATACTCTATGTTTCATTTTAGCACGGCATTCTTAGAAAAATTAACCAGATAATTGATGTGGTCAACACAGCACATGACACCGGGACGAGTTGGTTAGAAGGCTTATTAATAGTGTACGTATTAACCCTGCTATATTCCTTCTTGAGAAATAACCCCATTTAAATGTAAATGCTTTTCTACGCAGATATTTCAACCTAAAGAAAATATTCTGAAATTGGATGGTAATGCTCAAGACGTCGTAAAAAAAAATAGCGAACCTCCTCCTGAAATAATCTTGGCGTGTCAACAATTAGCCGACGGACTTGTAGATAGACTTATAGAACTAGAAGATACCGACAATGAACGAATGCTAGGATGTATAACAACACTGCATTTGCTAGCCAAGGTCCGCCCTCAACTGTTAGTTAGGCATGCTATGACTATAGAGCCTTATTTAAATATAAAGTGTCATCCATCCACTGCTCCTAAATTTATATGTGCTGTTGCGGACATACTAGAAAAGGCAAGTAGAATTTATGATATTATCAAATATATTTTTGAAAAAATAATTTAATCTAAATTATTTCCAGGTTGTGCCATTGGTAAATAACGCAAGCGAAACTTTTTTGGCATCATTGGAAGAACATTTAATGTTACTAGTTGTATCTCTAAATCAGGCTGTTGTATCAAGTGTGTATCCTGCCTAGGAGCTGTCGTAAATAAAATAACAAAAAATTTTAAACTTATTCGGGATTGTTTTCAAAAGTAAGTTCAAAACATTTTCCCACTAAGCATCATGTCATTGGCATGAAATTATAAATTTACAATAAATTTATAATGAATTTATACTATAAAATTGTATTAATTTTAATATTTATAAATTGTATTAATGTCGTTTGCATTGGAGTTTCTGAAAACTTCATTATTAGGCATCCACAATATTTGAAGGAAGGAAAAGTTATCGAACAACATTTAGTAAAGTGCAGGGACGTACACAGGATTTCGTTTTTTTTTTTGGGGGGGGGGGGGGGGGAAGGCGGTTGAGCCTCTGTGCGATATGGAAGAAAGTCAACTTGACCTACTCCTGAAATGTAGGGATGCTCAGCAACTCTTAATATATTATTAGCTTCAATTTCCCATTAAAAGATATGTAGGTAAATTTGAATTAGTCTTATTATAATTTTAATATTTTATTAATTCTGTTAATTCAATTTTTATAAAAATAAATGAAAAAAAGTTATATTCAGTATATAAGCTATATGTATACTTAGTATACACATTGAGATCATTAAATACAGTGTTACTTATAAAATGTTTTAGTTTAACATATTTAGCTTCCTGTTTTTAGAAAAAAAGATATTTAGAATATCGTCTATATTTACATCACATTTATATACCGACATTAGGGCTAATGACGAACATCGTTGACTATGCATTTGGTTTCGGAGATACGTTTTATTCTACGTAATGTTGAAAAACTCCTTTCTGCAGATTTTCATCACAGTCTACAATTGCTTCAAGAGGATTGGATGTTCGGGACGTTTTTCTCTTCCACATCGTGATCCATAAGTCCAACTCTGATAGAACTTCTCGCTTACAGTTTCTCAAGTCTTTTTCATAAAAATTCATCATATCTTGAAAATCGTTATACGAACAGCTTACAACTCTAGAGGGTACAATATTTGACAAAGTTTTAACGACACTTTCATTTTCAAGGAATCTGCTTGTCATGTTTGCAATGAGTTCGTCCAAATAAGGTGCAAATAATGTTATCCTGTAATAAGATTCTGAGTCCGAACATGCTACATTTGATCTGTACTTTTGGGTACCCACCCTTCTTGGAACAGATACTTCAACTCCAAATTTTTCAGCTATAATTCTTGTTTCAAGGTATATTTTGTGGAACTCCTCGTCAGCATTTTCTCGTATAGTTTTTAACTTTCCCACAACTAAATGAATATGATCATATGCTTGAACTATGTCCAGGTTAACAGTCTGAAGGTATTGGAATAAGTGCAGGGTGAGCTCGAGTAGACGAGATGTTACAGCCACACCCAATAAAAAATCAAATTTCACAATTCTGTGATGAAAACTAAGTGCATCAGAGTGCATTCGAAAAAAGGTACAAATTTCAGAAATAATTGAAAAAATGTTTCGAATATCTGGAAGCTTTGAGGCTGCATTTAAACTTAAGTTAAGTATGTGGGAGGAGCAGTGAATATAAATTGCCGATGGATATTTCGTTTTTATTATGACTTGAACTCCATTATAATTTCCTGCCATATTTGATGCACCATCATATTCTTGGCCTCTTAAGAATTCAGGATCCAATCCCAAGCTTACAATTTTGTTTATTATAACTGTAGATATTTCATTCCCCGTCAATCCCTCTACTTCCACATAACAGAGGAAACATTCCTTTAGTTTATTCGACTCCTTATTATAAAATCGTATGCAAAGTGAGAGTTGTTCTTTGCCGGAAATATCGGTAGACTCATCAGCAAGAACTGAAAAGAATACAGCCCGTTTTATTTCATCAACAATAGATTTCTGAATATACGACCCAATAATAAATATTATCTCGTTTTGAATCCTGGGACTTATGTATGTTGCGTTCCTAGGGGTATTCTCCAAACTTTTTTTTAGGATATCATCCCCAGATGCTCTATACCGCAACAATGCCCTCAAATTTCCTTAGCTTTGATTTTTTTTGTCTAATGAAAGGGTTCCGGAATCTCTACTTCCTCTTAAGGCGATGTCTTCTCTGCCACATAACAATATAGTTTCAATCACTACACGAACTTTGTATTTTTGTTCTGCCAGAACTTCAGAAGTCTTTTTATCCATAATAAAGTTGATACTTTTTGATGGATCCTTCATTGTCGATATAAAGGTCTGAGTTTTATCGTGACCTCTTTGTGGTATTCGGCGCTCTCGTGGGTGGTGAAACATTCAATTGCATCTTTCCAATTTTTGAATGGTAGAGATAAAAGTAATTTGGGAAATTGATGGCTACCTTTTCCACAACCGTCTTTTTTAAAAAAAGGACACAAACTTTACAGAATGCGCCTTTTGCAAAATTTGAATATGCTTGCTAACCAAGAAAATCTCTCGAACCATTTAGTTTGAAAGTTTCTTTTTTTTCATTTTTTGTTTGTACTTCAAAATTGAAGGTTGAGTGTGGAGTCCATGTGTTCAGATAAATATTTTGTTTTAATGTGTCGTCAATGGGTTTTTCAATATACTGGCCAATGTCAAATATATGAATATCTCTTTCAGAACTAATTAAACATTGATTTTCGGCAGAAATACCCGTTTGAGAAGAAACAGAAGTATCCTCTGAAGATATTTCTTCATTTGTTGCAGTCTGGACTGATGACTGCTCAACATTCTGTAAACAACACATCATAAATAATGAGAAAAGTGTAAACCTTTAATATAAATGATTTGTCACATTTACAGTGTAAAAGTATCTTTATGTAGGAAATTGTTACTGTTTTAGGATTTTTTATTACTTGTACATAAGCTTATCTTTTTAATATTTTCCTCAATTTTGAGCTAAAATTAACATAAATGTGTGTTTTCCAGCCTTTAATAATTTGCAAGGAAGATAATTGAAGTGTTGTAAATTTTAGCATTTTTTACAATTTTTTATTAAGTTATGTGAACAAATAATGCCTTTCTTTTATTAATGTAAATTTTTGTTATTTGCACAAGTTATAAAAGCTTTTATTAGTTTGCAAATAATAAGTTCACTAACTGTATGTATGCATATAGGGAGTTTTCGACACATCGACACATTTTTAACATATTTTAATAATTTTCCTATAGGAATAGGAACATTATTGTAACCTGTTACTAACCGACAACGTTGCAGAGCGGGATTGCCCAGCAATAAGCAAAATACTAGAGTGAGAGAGAGAAAGCGAGATCTCTCTGACTTTTTAATTGTCCAACTCAATTTTAGGGCAGTTGTTGTTTGCGTGAGCTCTCTGTAATTAGAAAACTGAAAGACACTCGCGTTATACTTGCTTTCAAAACCAAACCTTTCACTGTTTTTTCCGTGATCTCTTTGTTTTTCATTTGACAAAAATTTCACCACAATAAACAGAGATGCCAACGCTATTGCAATGTTAATATCAATGTATTTTTATATTCACCTCACGAGAAAATCAAAAATCTCTGTTTTAACTTTCTTGATACATACATACGAACATAATTTCAACACATTTGACATATGCATGTATGTACCTTAGTTCATTAATATTTACTTAATGTAACTTGTATTTTGTACGTGTAAATTCATTTTTTCGATATTTATTGATTTATACAATCAAAAGGCATAGAAATCGAAACTATTTAATGAACAAAAATAAATGTATTTTGACCAAACGATTTCGGAGGGGGCCCGGGCCCCAGGGCCCCCCCTGCGTACGTCCCTGGTAAAGTGTAGCAAGTAAATCACTGTTTCAAACATTTATAATTACACTTTAAAATTTTTGAGAAATGGAGTCAACAATACAATTGCATTTTATATTGAAACATTTATTATTAAATGGTGTTACAATACTTTTTATCTGAAAATTGCTTTTTTAAGAACTTTAAAGTAAATTATTGTTTAAAATTTGTAAACACATTTGCAACAGCCACAATATAGCTATATTTTCATCAGCTGATGTAACTGGGTAATGGTACTAAGTAAATTTTCCAGTAAGATTTTGAAAACACTTAATAACTTAATTGTTGACTGAAATTCTTTGTCTCGAAATTGATCCTTTTACTCGCTACATTTATTGGACTTTTGGGTTATCGAAGGATATTATGTTATATTATGTACAAATGAATGAAAAATGTTTTTTTTTTTGTAGTAAGAAGATACGTGGTTGAAGTATGTGTTCAACACATGCAGCCGCATTTAGCACATACCCAGCTAACAGTTTTTCCGTTTTTTGTCCGAATTCGGAAAATAACTCTGCACAAGTTTCCGATTCTGATGTCGAACTTTGAACAAAATTGTGTGAGATTGCCCAAGATTCTGAGAGTTTTTTTTTCGGAAAAATATCGGAAAGAACATTAGAGTTTCGTAACGAATTCGATTTAAATTTGCAAAAGGAAAATTAGGAATATTTTTGTATGTTTAGTACGAAATTCGCAAAATGTTTGGATGTTTGATCAGAAAAAAATAAATTTGTTCTATAGTGTTATTCCGAAATCGGAGAAATATAGAATGTCTGATTCAAAAATTCGTAAAATTTTCGGACGTTTGATCCGAAATTCTGGAAAAAATGAATGTTTTCGAAAGTTTTATCCGAAAATCGGAATAAATTGACTAATTTTTTCTATATTCTGAAAGTTATTAAAATAAAGTCTTATATTGTCGGAAGATTTGTCATAGTTCCAGGTGTATGTTCCAACGCCGCATCTAATAATAGGTTAGGTTAGATTAGGTTGAAAAGAGGGGCGAAATACTTCGCCGCATGCCCTGTTGGACATACACTTAAGCCAGTATAGGCCTGTTGTTCGCTCTAGATTAAAGATTCTTGAACAAAAAATGGGCAGTTAACAGTCTGTTATATTTGAAATTCAGTTGCCTTCATGAAATTCCTTAACTGTTTTATATCATTTACCACTATCTGATTAAGGTCTGGTATAGAGTCGTTCACTAAGAATTGGGACCTGATATTTGCAAACGCTAGTCATTGGCATAGAAATGTTCCAATGTTTCGTCATCTTCCACGCATGCTCTGCATATGCTGTTATCTGCA